CACTATCCAGCCACTCAAGTATGGAGCTCAGGGTCAGACAATGGGAAGGCTGCTATGCAAAAAAAATGACTTCCATGCAAGCCATGCAGGATATGCTGAGGCAAGATCCTTACGACCAGGATATTCACCAGACTGCAACCCCCCCCCCTTACGAGGCTTCAGTGCAGCGAGTCAGCACAGCTCAAGCTTGCATCAGAGTCCCGAACTTGCGAAGACCTTGACAGGTGTCAGCTCTTCAAGATATCACACATAGCGCAGCGCCTACAAACACAACACACCAAGACAGGACCATGCTTGGAGGTCCAGGGGTAGTTGCCAGAAGATTTATCCACATGTAAAGGATAATCATAGGCAGCAGTACTGCACTCACAACAATATTCTACAGCTACCGATGCTCTTGATTCCCTTGCCTTCATCAGCTGGCGCACCAGCGGATGCGACTATACGGTTGGCTGCCAACTACGTCAAAGCCAGGCCTCGCCGAGACGGGTGCGGAAAAGCTGTTTTGCTTGTCCATGGTATACCGCAGGTATTTTCATATGAGAGGGTCTCTCAATTTCTGGAGCTAGATATCGGATGGGATCCTTTTCCTTACTGGTTATTACGTCGGGAATAAGGGAATATATTATGTAGAGGTTGTATAGGAATTATATGGGAGTTATATAGGGTTATATAGTTATATAGGAATTATACAGGGGTTATATAGGGGTTATATACGGATTATATAGGGTTTATATAGAGATTATGCTCCCTTATTCCCTACTAAGCACCAGTAAGTTTCGTCTGCCAGGCCTCTGCCGGGCCAAAGATGTCGGTGCAACGCCGTTGCGATTGCTGTGACAGCAGCTACAGGTCGCGGCCGCAACGGTCGTAAAGGATGGGTTCCACAACACACGGCGAAGATGAAACGGCGAGAGAGTCAGAGTGTCTCCCGTCATTCGCAAATGATTCCCATTTAAAGAAATCTATACTGTATGCAAGTCAGATACTGCGACTGTAAACTGACCTTTGTATGCCTTCACACGTACATGCAAACAGACCACCTGCATACCTGTATAACTGCTGTGATTGGATCTTAAGGGATATTCAAATCAAGGTCTTTGTTAAGGAACTTCATGAAAGTTTCCATAATGAGGAACTCCCATTATGTAATATACATACGTATATAGATACATATACCCATTGTTCTCTTTATCCTTATCGTTATTACTGTTATTCTTCTTATAGTATATACCCAGTATAGTAACTGAATTTAAAGTCCTTAGCAGAGACCCTAAAATCGAGCGCAGATGATGGTTTTTAAATCTCCTCCCCCTAATATGACACCCCAAAAAATATCAAATACTCCCCAATATACTATAACTACTATAACATACTACGATGGGGAGTATTTAATACTAGGCAGGATGGGGGGGGGTTCATATTTTTTGGGGGAGGAGATTAACTCCACTCAACTTAACTGTCTGCAAACTTTGAAGAGCCCCATGACCCTAAACCCTAAGCCCTCTGATGATGTCTACAACATACCTGCACTTGGGCACCAAAGCCCAGCATAGCACCAAAAAAAACAACACTGCTAGAAGTATGAGCTGTTTAATCCTGTTGCCTCCTTGCCAGCACCAACTAAGCTTCCTGAAAGCTTGGGACTACCACAAACGTCCACACTCTAGATCTTCATTGCTGTTTGCTAGCTCGGATGATTTGTGAAGTCGCAAGAGATGCTATACAGGCTGGCGCGAGCAGGTTGCAAAGCATGGAGGAGGTTTGTTCGTAAAGAGCATGTCTTGCGGGGCGCTCTCATGGTTTGTTCCCACAGAAACCATACCCATGATATCAGAAGGCTAGCATACAAAGGGATCGTCAGGTCGATGCACCCCGCATGTGACTTCATGATCTAGCCTCAACAACCGCATGCAAGCAAGGTCCAATCCTTGACAAATCCAAAAAGATGTGCGAAACAGATCCAAACTTCAAAGACCGAAATCCCCGAAGCCTGAGGACCACCAAGAAAGGGGCACTTCCCTTGACTCTCGAAGCCCCAAATGATATCTATCCAACTTCGATACACAAGCCAAGCTCGCAGCTTCGACTGCAGAAATCCTGTCTCAATGGACAAAGCACTGACTCAAACTCATCTTCTGAATGCCTGCCGCTTTGGCCCTCCGAGAACTACAAGTCTCGAAGCGGCAGAAGCTGCATGAGGAGACCCTGAAATGAAGTGAGGCCAGGGGATCTGGGAACTAAAAAGAAGCCTGTCGCTCAGAAGATGCCTCCAATTGATGCTGGACATGGAGAAGGGAAGAGTTTCATTTTCCAAGTCAAAACTGCGGCTCATGACAAGGTGGCAGGAAACTCCAATTGAAGAGTGTCGTACCAAGCGATCTGGATACGAATGGTGACCACGGAGTTGTTCATGATGGTTCAAGTGAAACATAAACTGCTTAAGTCTGAACTCACCGAAGAAAATGCAACCTTGGACTTTGCTTTTACTCATCCATTGCTGGAATTAATGGACGTCATGCTGCTTCACTAGATTCATTGCCAGCCGGAATGGGGGATGAAGCGCATTTACCCTAGGTCTCTCGAGGTAAGGACTAGCCATCGCGTATCTCATCTAATGCGTCTTTACGCCACAGCAGGAGCTGGCTGTAGTCATAAATCAGATCAGAGGCAGCAACAATGAACATCACTATGGGAAGATGACGTGCATGGCAACAGTAGTGACCAACATGACTTCAAATACCCTTGGAAATCTTGTCAGCATAGAACGGTCAACCCTTTTAGGATAACAGTTGACTGTGTAGTCTCCTTAGACCTATAATACGAATGTTATTTATAATAACTCCTTAGGGTTATACTATAATAAAACTAACAAAAATTCCTCAGGACACCTGGTAGTTTCCCCAAATAGGGGTACCCCAATATAGACCCCAAAATACTACAGTCCTTCTCATGGGGACCCCCAAAAGGGTACCCCAATTTTGGGAAACCCCACTTCAGTTGAGAGATGACAACATCAGCATGCGCTGACGCCAGGCTGAGGCAACAAGAAGGCACAAGGCGTCGCTGCATAGTGTCTACGGACGAGAAATATTCTGAGTGCTTGTTTTCGTCCATCTGCTTGGTTGGAATCTGAAATGCATCAGGCCTGACCCAAGCTTGAATGCCTCAACATCCGCGGCAAACCGTATCCTTGATATTGTCATTCGCTTCAGCTGACTCAGGCATGTTTAGAATTCCGGGTACCCGGGTGCCCCCTGTCTTTTGCTTGAACAACAGAGGACTGGCTACATCAAGCATGTCTTGCAAGCCAGGTATTTGAATGGAGGTCCCGGTGCGGCATCCTTGGGCGCTTTCAGCCTCATTCCTTATGCTCATTAACGACTACAAGAAAGCCAGCACAATGAAACACGTCATGCCCAACTTCGGCTCAGAGGCCTGTATCCGAACCAATGCGTGGTATTGTAACCCAACTGCTGCAGTGTCAGCTGGACGGAGCTTGTACTGGTCCGAGATACGCTGGCCACAAGAACTTCTACATTCCTGAATTGCGTTCAGCTTTGCTCCTCCCAAAAGCTCACCTACATGGAGAAAATGCTCCGAACGCATGAAAGGCTACCTACAGAAACTGCTCAGCTTCTCTCCGGGGGCGCAGCTTGCCAATTCCCAGTCGGCAGCTGTGGTCTGAAAAGGAACGAAGGTGCTGGAGCCCAGTGCAATCAGCAACAACACAGCAGTGTAAAGATAGCAGAGAAACACTCCGTGAATGTCATCATTGCTGCGGGTTTGGACAGGGGAGCGTCTAGTCCTCGGGCATTTATACTTGAGCCAATTTGAGAAGTGGCCAGAATCTCACCCCGCCCCCGAGGACAAACACTGCAAATCCTATGTGAGGCTTGCGGGGGCTCAGAGTGCCTAAGCCTCCCTGGCGCTTTAGACTTAAATGATTCATTCTGCCTGCGTGCGTGAGTGAACGACATGGGTGGAAATGTTTCCTCGCGATAGTTCCATGGGCTTGGCCCGTCAATCTCAAAGTGAGGGAACCTCCGTGGGGGGCGCCGCTCAATCTACTGGCATGGCGTGGATTTAGGCACTTGGCAAGACAATTCGGATCTATCATGATCTAGCTGGCTCACTCGTGCGGGAGTTCATTCCTGCAAAGGCACGTGGCAAATTCTGGGAGCTCTCCATGTTGGGGCAAGGTTTGTATAGAAACTTGCTATGGTCAGTGACTTGACTGGTGTGGTGACTGTACAACTACCTGACATCATGTCGTAAGAAAACTACCCACGCCGACGCCACACCAAACTCTGCAGGAAGTGCCAGCGTGCTTTCTTCCAGCAACTGCTCCGCTGTAGGCTCCTTGTATTTGGGCTTTTAGGCCCACAACGTTGTTCGAACGAGTGTGTGGGTGTGTGCGTCGGAAACGATAGTTCCGGAGCTTCATCGACATGCGTTGCGTCGTTCTTGGTGTCCTCGGTGGTTGGCCTCATCTTTGCCGAATCGATTTTGTCAGATTGAAGAAGGCTGGTCGAGTTTTGCGCACATCGGAGATCTGCATTGACATTCGAATGAGGCTAAAGTGCGAAGCCAACCTTCGTCCCACGTAGCTATGATCGGTATGCAAGGTGGACAAGAATCCATTTGCTGTTAGATTCACGATGATCAGCAAAGCGTGGTCTCTGACAAACAATCACAACACAAAGCTTTCAAAGCTGAGGGCTGTCAGGTTCTGCCTCAAGGCAAGAGCCCAGACAGGGAATTCGTCCTGCATCTTCTGCAGGCTTTCAGCTGCTTATGCTGTTGGTAGCAACTGAGGAAACTGATTTAAGAAAACTCTGTACCAGCAACGGCATGATGCTTTGCCATGCCTGCTGTTTAAAAGGATTCTGATATTGAAGAAATCTGTCGTGTGCATGGGCTCCCTCTGCCAAGCCACCGGTGAATTCAAGAGCTTGCCGGCCTTCATTGGTCTCCAGTAAGTTCCGGAGCCCTTGGGCCTAGCTCCCGAGCTGCACCAAGGCAGCCTGGCACTCTCGTGCGGCCCGCTCCCAGCTCATCTCCTTGGGAGGAGTGGGTGCGAGGCCAGAAGTCGCAAGTGCCTGGCTTGTCTCAACATCTTTGTCAGCATAGCGCTGTCCGGATGCCACCAGGTTCACATACGCAGAACCTGCCTTTCCAAAGGTGATGCTGTCAAGGTAGCTGGGCATCATGCCATAGACATCGGCCACATCATCTGTTCGAGGGAAGATCCCTTGGAAGGCCTTATCATGGCACCAGAACATCATCTTCGTCTGCGCCCACCTTGTGGGATCGGCAGCCCTCTCCATGCGGATCAGCATGGGAACCGCGCCGCTTTGCCAGTCATTTGCAATGATGACACTTCGTGGCCCAAAGGGGTAGCCGCCCAGCGGAAGATCAGCGATGGCCGCCACTGCTGCACGGGAGAAATAGGCAAAGCGCAGGTGGTTGTCATCGAAGTCGGTCCCGTTGTGGCCATACAGGCGACCTTCGGTCTTTGTCGGAATTTTCCCAAGAAACATGTGATTGTCCACGAAAACGTAATCCACACCCTCCGCGAAGGCGTGGAAGAAGTGCAGCGTCTCTTTCTGCGCTCCCATTTCAACATGCTTCCAGAATCCTGCGCAGCATGGGCGAGTTTGACTTATACAGAAGCAATCCAGACTCTGCATTGGGACATGGCATTGGGACTATGCTCCACCCATGCCATTGCCCTAGAAAAGCGAACTTTGCAATTCTTAAAGCCCCATGGTGCCTGTGTCCCAGCCCTCGAAGTACTGATCATAGCGCGGAGCGATCACCATGACGCGGTGGCCGAGCCGTGCCATGGCCTTTGGCAAGCCGTCCATAGCTTCACCGAGCCCACCGGTACTCGAGAATGGTGCTGCCTCAGAAGTCACGAAGACTACTTGGAGGCGACTCGTCGAGATCTGCGAGGAAATGGCTTGTGGATTTCGGACTAACGTGTAGTTTTCACCGACGGCATATGCACCTCCTCTCAGAACCGCAAGTTGAGAGTTGTTTTTCACTGGAAGGAACCGTGAGGGCGGAACGAGAATGGCTTCCGCCCCTGGCAGAAGCGAAATGGCTGCACCCATGGCTGTCTCCACCTGCACAACCTCAAAGCCCGGATCGTCCTTGCTGGACGGGTCCACTCGCTTTCCGTTGGCAATCAGAGGAAGCTTTAGTGGCCCCTTCTTCAAGATATCCTGAAGCTTTTCGAGGTTCAGCCAGATGTTGTTGGTGTTGAAGTACTGGTGCTTGGCCACATCCTGGAAGTCCTTCTCATCGGCTCCAGCTACCTGTGCACTTTCCCTGAGAGTCAGCATGCCTTTGCCTCAGGTGTGCAGCAGTTCTGGAGAGTGTAGTAAATACTCGTTTGCAAAAGATGGGGGGGCTCTGCCATGGTTTGCCAAGTTGCTTTCTTTGCCCTTGTCTCCACTATCATTGCTGTCTTTCTTCTCAGTGCTCGCCATGCGTGCCAGGTGGCCTCCCTTGCGGTCTGCCTCACCACGCACACAGACCTCCATGAGCATTGGCGCCTTCGATCGCTCCAAGTGCCCCAGCATCCGTAAGTCCACGGAAGCGCCCAGGTTGTCGCTGTTGGCAACAAACATGTACCTGAACAAAGGCGGAAGCACAAACAAAGCCAGCTGCCCCAACTGCAGTGTGATTTGTTGCCTATCACGTCTAGAACCTTTGCATAGTCTAGCAGTCTAGAAGCTTGTAGCCATCCTTTAAGAGGCGTTCCAGAGTTCCGGAGGTGACCAGAGTGAGGAAGATGTCGCCATGCCCTGGTGGGCACCATTCAGCGCTTGGCTTCTCTGGCCACTCTGCCGGCTTGTAGGTCTCTGCATCTACCTTTGGTGCCATGCCTTGGAGCAAGGACACGGAGTCCCAATTCGCCAAAACAGATGGATACTTCTTCATGAACTCTTTTGTGTCTGCCTCAGTGGAGAAGGAATTGTAAAGCATGAATCGCAGTGGATGTTTCTCTTGGATCTGCATGATCTGCTTCACAATGAGGTCCATGAAGGTATTTTCTTCCTTGACCTTCAAGAGGCTCTTGGCTTTGTCCAGGCCCATGCTGGTACCCAAACCCCCATTGAGGCGCATCACCACGGTCTTGCCCAAGGTGGTCGCGCTTGCAGGCAAGATTTCAGTCAGGCTTTTGGGCTTGGCAGCGGGCAATATCTTGTTCTCACGAACAATCCCCTTGCTTCCGCCGCATAGTCGTTGGTATAGATCCTGAAGCAGCGCGAAGCAATTAAATGGGAGCAATGCAAAGCATGCGCCATACAGGAATGCGAACCTCGCACATGTTTGCATGCCATGCGTCCATCCACCACGTGATGAAGGCTGGGCTCAGACCCTTCTTCGCCATCTTCGCGCGGAACTCTGCCGCATGAAAAAAGAAGCCTATTTCCCGGGCAGCTGCAGCAATGGAATCACTCCCATGAAAACCGTTCCGCGTCGGGTCCATGCCAAACAAAGAACGCAAGCACTGCGGTGCTTCCTTTGACAGTCTCAATTCCCATCAGCTCAAAAGCAAGTCTTGCAGGAAAACCTAACATGCACAGTCTTCTGTCCTTGTTCACCTTCTTCAGATCGGTTGGTCCCTTCAACTTGTCCCAGACCTTCACAGCGTTGACCCCCTCAAGCTCCATGATCACAACCGGGCCGCTTGTCATGTAATCAACAAGTTTGGCGAAGAAAAATTTCTCCTCACCAGGTTTTTGCATTGACTCGGGGCCTTGAGGTTGGCACAATGCAATACACACTAAACATGCCGAGGCATGGGGCAACGACCATGACGTCATACGCCATACGCTTCTGAATAGCCTACATCACTGAACACTCACTCCTAGAAACAGCAGCGGGCATCTGGCATTGACAACAAAATCCTAAACAGCTGGGACTCTACAAGCTGGGACGTTAAGGTGCCAAACACTTTCCAGGGTGTCCTGCTGCTCCACATAGAAGTTTTTCACTTCGTCAGAGGTCAGCTGCCGTTGCTCTTTGCGCACAATCTTGAGGCCTGCCTGTGAAATTTGGCGCTCAACCTGTGCAGAGCAAAGGTGAATGCCTAGCACACGCTGTTAAATTTCGTACGCGCATGTGCCTCCTCGACGTAGCCACGCTTCACAGCATCCGGCTTGATCATGGCGAAGGTCTTCTCTCTCAAAGCCAGGTGTCCAGGCACCCACTTGCGACCAGGTTTAGAGCCGCCGTCAAGCAGCTTCTTCCATGACTCGTGGCACTTGTTTATCACCTGCCAAGAAACATCTAAAAAATGTTGCAAGTCTGTACAGTCGGCCACCTGAATTCGTGATTACGCGCCTTTATCGCCTCCGCTTTGCCAAAAGCCTTGTCTTTGTACGCGAACTTGTTTGGGGCTTTGTCGTCGGGCGTTTTGTACCATCTGAACCATTCGCGAATGCCGCCAACAACGCCAGGCAACTTGGCTTCCACATCGGCAATATCGTTCAACTCTGCGGCCAAGGGATCCTCCATTGCTAGAGGAGTTCATTAAGAAAGCTTTGCACGAGCAGCCGGCATAATCCGCATGTGAGCTTTGCTGACTTACCGACCTGGACCTACAAGACATAACAACACTACTGACACTACTGACACTACTGTAAACTTGTAGGGCAATTGCTTCCGGCATTCGGGTGCTTGTCAAGTGCCGCAGCAACCCACCCAAGTACAATGCCCGAACCATGCCTCCACGTTGATAGCAATGATCTTCCAATCAAGGTCGTGCTCATCGATCTGAGCAAGGGCTCCTAGCGGCTTTACTTTGCTGATGCTGCCCAGGCCCAACTGCTTCGAGCCGATCTCAACCACGTCCAGCGGATCACCATCGCCAGTGAAGCCCTCATCGCCATCCATCTCCTCATCATCGTCCTCCCAGGTGCGAGGAAGCATGCCATAGTTCCAGAACATCGGGCCGGCGTAGTGCCTCGGCTTGCCCTTCTTGGTGTCCTGCATGATTGGGTTTCCCTCCAGCTCCAGCTGCACCTCAAATTTAGCTGTTGTCATCTTGGGAATCTCCGTGACAAAGTAGTACTGGCCAGTCCCAGCAGAGAGTGGGAAGTCATGCCATGGAGAGACTGACTTGATTTTCTCGACCTCAGCCTTTTGGGCTGGAGTCTGTGTCTTGCCAGCCAGGTTTTGAGCCTTCTCAGCTTGAGGCGTCTGGCGCTTGAAGCTCAGCTGGAAGTCTTTAGTCCCAGGATCGCCCTTAAAGATGGTGACGTAGCCTTCTTCAGCCTTGCAGGTCTTCACTGGAGCTTTTACCTCAGCAGGCGACTGCAAGCTGGGCGCTGGCGAGTGTGGCACCTCCATGTTGACAAAACCACGAGCTTTGCTCTTCTTGTTTGCCTGCGTGTGGGCCTTCCACTGGTCATGCTGGCGCTTGATTATCTCCATGGCCTTCTCCTTCCCCATCACATCCTCCACCTTGCATAAAGGCTGGCCCTTGGCAACCAGGTGCCAACGAAACCACTCACGGATACCGCTGACTACACCTTTGCACTTTGTCTCAACGTCCTTGATGCTCTGCAGCTGCTTGGCCAGCGGGTCATCAAGGCAAATGGCAATGATCTTCCAGTGCACCATGCCTTGATAAAGCACTGGCACGACACCCAAGGGCTTTACTTCCTTGATCATGCCTTGCACAATAGACGCACTGCCAATCTCGATGACTTCGATGGGTCGGTCATTGCCACGGCTGCTCAAAGCAGGATCGCTGACAGCTGGATTCCCCCAGGTTTGTGGCAGAATGCCTGTGTTCCAGTAGATAGGTCCATCAAAGTATGCCAGCTTTCCGCCTTGCACGATGTGTCTTATTGGGTTCCCTTTGCTAGAGGAGACTTGCACGATTGCGCTGGAGTTCTTAGGCATTTCAAAGACTGCGTTCACGCCATTGGAAAACAGTGGAATGTCATGCCACGGGGAGATGGCGGCACCCTGGCATGTGTAGGTCAGCTCCAGAACGCCAGCAACTTTGCGAGCAGCTGCTGCCACGTGAAGTTGCTGCGCATGTGCCATGGCCGCAAAACTTCGCACCATCGGCGGAAGCTGTTTGAGCAGAGGATCCACAGGGGTTCGTGTCTTTGGGGCCTTTGCCAGCGTGAAGTCGTCTGCGACGACAAATGCGTCGCTGCGAAGCACCGCCAGCTGTGCATTGGTTTTGACAGGCAGGAAGCGATCGGAAGGGACCACGATCGCCTGCGCATCCGGGAACAGGGAAATGGCAGCACCCATGGCTGTCTCCACCTGCACAACCGTGGAACCGGCACCCGGCTTTGGCTCACTGAACTGCGGAATTGGTGAAACAGTATCATCTTTGCCCGTGGGATCCAGCTTCTTCTCGTTTGCAATGAGCGGCAGCTTGAATAGCCCCTGCTTCAGGGCAGTCCGCAGCTTCTCCAAATTCAGCCAGATGTTGTTGGTGTTGAAGTATCGATGCCTGGAGATGTTCTCGAAGGCCTTCTCATCCTGCTTATGGACCTGGGCGCTCTCCCGCAGTGTAAACTTGCCATCGGAGGTGCGAGCGAGATGTCCGCCCTTTTTATCCTCCTCACCGCGGATGCAAACCTAGCAGGTAACAGCTGCATGAACCGCAGCACAACACAACGCTCTCACAAGACGCATCTTGGAATACCCACCTCCATGAGCATGGACGCACCGGAGCTGGCAAGGTGTCCCAGAAGGCGCATGTTGACGGAAGCCCCCAAATTGTCACAATTGGCGACGAACATGTACCTGAAAGCTTAAGGCTAGTGCTTTCCCTGAAGCCTTCACGAAGCTCAAACTCATTTGCTGCTTGGTGGCTTGTAGCCTTCATTCAACAGCCGGTCCAAGGTTCCCGACAGGAGCAAAGCAGCATAGATATCTCCATGCCCTGGTGGGCACCATTCACAATTCGGTTTCTTGGGATACTTGGCTGGCGCCATGGACTCGGTAACCTTTGGAGCCATGTACTGCTTCAAGGATACACTTTCCCATTTGGAATGAAACGCAGGATATTTCTTCATGAAATCCTTGGTATCGCCCTCGGTGGAGAAAGAATTGAAGAGCATGAAGCGAACTGGCTGCTTTTCCTGGATCTGCAAGACCTGCTTCACAATCAGATCCATGAACGTGTTGCTCTCCTTCACCTTGAGCAAACTCTTTGCCTTGTCCAAGCCCATTGTTGTACCCAAGCCGCCATTGAGGCGCATCACCACTGTCTTGGATAGGAGAGATTCATCACCAGGCTGCAAGCCAGCCAAGTCAGGCAATGCAGCAACAGGCAGGATGTTCTTTTCAAGAACCACGCCTTTCTTGCCTTCACAAAGCTCCTCAAAAAGGCCCAACCACCAAGTCACGAACTGAGAAGGTAAGTTTTTGGCCAGCATCTTCTCCTTAAAGCAACTGCCGAGAAGCTTCGGCAGGGGAGTCAGCATCATGGTTGCATCCAACAAGGGCTTGGTGATTTCCAGCGCACTTGCATCTAGCTGGCCTTGGGGTGACTCATATTTTTCTAGGTATACTCGCATGGAGGCTTTGCCGCTGGACCCCGTCCCACTCAAGCGTACCACCACGCGGGCATCCCCTGAGAGCTTTAGAACAACACCTTCGCCGGTGGTCACCGAGCCATCCACGGGATCGGTGTAAACAAAATCTTCAACACTTTGAACTCGCATCTCCTTCACCTCCTTTCCAACCTCAGCATTTCACAGCGCACGGCGCATGACTCAAGGCATTTCGATGTTCAGGTGGTGGACAACAAGTGGACTGCCAAGCTGCCATCTTGTTGCCGTCCTGGACAATCTTCTTCATGGTTGCTTCAGCCTCGTCCTTGTCCAGGCCATCAAAGTCATAGCGCCAGTAGTAGTGGCGCCCGAATTCCTTGAAGTGCTGCTTGCACCTGGGAATGGATTCGCAACGGTGGGATTGTCTCACCCATTGAACCACTTGTCACGCATTGCCACATGTACCCAAAATATCCCAAAATACAAAAGCCAAATCGGGCAAGGTGCAGGTCCCGCACGGTGATCAGAGGCTTTTTTGGATCAGTGTTCTTAGATGCTAGGATCTGCAACCAGGCCAGCGCGGCCCACATGCCGTCCTTCTCCCGAACATGGTTGCTGCTGGTGCCAAAGGACTCTTCGCCTGCTATCAACCAGCATGGGCATGCCATGAAAAAACACCGTGAGTTGCAGTGTCTGCTGTGCCGCGCTCAGCTGAATGCATCCAAAGGGCCGCAAATGAAGGGTGTGAACGTCTTTCCAGGGAGCTTTGCGCCAGACTCCATCAGATTCCCAAAGTTTTTCCAGCCAGTCGGTGTCACGAAGCAAGGAATATTCTGCTTTTTGGCAACGCGATCAATTGCACCGGTGGTTGGCAATGAGCGTGCGCAGCCGTTTACTCCACCTTTGAAAAATGGAATGCATCGCGCATGCTGGAGGATAATGGCCAAGCTGTCGCCAGGGCTGACAAAGCAGTTCTTGCCCAAGATGATGTTGCGGTCAGCATCGCCATCAGCTCCTGCACCGAAGCCTGGGTGGAAGCGCAGAGATAACTTCTCTCCCATCTGACGACAACCCATCCCCTTCAACTTCTGACACTGACTTATACTCGGGGATACCGGGTACCACATCCCCGCTCCATTGGGGTACACCATTCATCATCTGCAGAGGATCTGAGCTGGACAGAATGAGAGACAACTCTTGCGAGGATGGATGCGTGTCTGGTTTAATTGCTTGATGGTTCCAAGCCTCATACGAGACCTCCTGTCCCGCCTATTGTAAAGGCGTAGTGAGTGCTGCCACAATCATACCACAAAGAAATCGGACAAAGTAACGATGCAAGGATACCCTGGCTCATACAGCAAATTCTCAAGATCCTTGAAGGGACTTAGGGGTCTTTGGGAGTGATGACTCGATGCGAAAATGATATGAAATGATAGCACCTCTCCCACCGTAGCAGCTCAATTGTGTGAAGAGTTTTCAGAATCGTCCCACGCTTGCAAATTGCCATGAGACGTTAACCAACTATTTGCTTCAAGCATCCCCACCCTAAAGTGTGGCTGTCCAGCAGTTGGGGTTGCTGACCGTTTCTGATAGGGTCACTTACAAAGGTTTTAAGGCCTTCATACGGTCCGCTCAGAGAGGTCATAAGTTATAAGGGTTATGTCGGGTTTCTTACAAAGCTCAAAAGGCTTACATAGGGTCGGCTTAGATGGTTAAAAGGGTTGTCAGGCCTACATAGGTCCCATTTACAGGGGTTATAAGGCAGAGGAGCTCGCAGCCGGGTACTGATCGTAAGCCAATCGCATCCCCTCCTTGTTCACAGCCATCTTGGCCATGAGCTCTAAAGAATGGCTGAGGTTAGGATCTGCATGGCCTTTCTGCGGGGAATTCTTTCCACCAAAGTCCTCCTTCGGAGTCGCGTTCATGAGACTTGATGCTTTCGCGCCGAGCTCGTCGCAGAAGATGCGTTTGGCATACGGGCCCTGCACCCCGTGCATACAGTCGTAGTAGAACGAGAAATCCGAGCGACCAAGAAGCTTCTTGATTGCCTACAATGCACAAGCTAGGCGCAAGGAACGACATGGAAGCAAAACAACCGATTGAAATGATGGCTCACAAAATGGCGTGCTTCGTTGCCTCGAAGTCGAAGACAGTTTTCAACAAAGCCACATGGTCATCAACTGGATTGAACACCTCGACGCGGACCGCGCCAAGCATTGTCGTGCCGCACTTAGAGAGATCGACCTTGGGTATTGTACACGTCTTGTACTCGGAAATGGACTGCGAGATCTTGTAAATCTTTTCCGTGATCTTGGGCGGAGCCGGTTCCCCACTCTCGCAATTGAACTTGATACCGAAATCCCCATCCACCCCGGCAGGGTTGTGTGAGGCCGTCAAAAGGAAGCCGCCGAAGGGAATGAAACCCCCTTTGCGCGTTCGAATAACAGCGCTCATTGCCGGTGTGCTTAGCAGCCCGTCCTGACCAACCCAGATCTCAGAGACACCATTGGCGACGGCCATGGCCAAGACGACTTGCAAAGAGTACTTGTTGAAGTAGCGGCCATCGCCGCCTAGAACCATAACACCGCCCTCCACTTTGCAACCGCTGCTTGTTAGGGCATCGAAGGTGCTCTGCACATAGTTCTCCAAGTAGTTCTTGCCCTGGAAGACCTTCACTGTCTTTCGCAAGCCGGAGGTCCCGGGCTTCTGGCCGGCGATGGGAGCAGTTGGTACCCGCTTTACTGACAAGCGGTCCATGCTCTGCGCTGCGATTGGGAACCGACACTGGAGCCAAAAAACTATCCAGCCAAGCGTTGATGGTCTTCACATGCCCACATCAGTCTGGCAAGCCAATGCGTTTCCGATTCCAACTCAAGCTTGAAATTATTCTTGAAAGCTGACTACCCAACCCTCAACGCAAAACGAGTGTCCAGTTGCATTTGTGGTCAACCTCATTCTGAGCCCTGCCAGCAAGCCACAATCTGCTCACCCTTTTTTTGTAGTCTGCACTTTCCCCCTTTGTGCTCCTCTTGAGCAAGCGGGTTGGAAGGCAGTCCGAAGCGAATTCATTCTGCTACGCTGCTGGATCGGCTGATGAGCTGGTAAAATATGATAGACCCTGAAGGGCTAGGCTAGCTTCGCAAACGCGTTCGCAAAAGTAAAGCCAATTAAAGCCATGTTCTTCACGGTGTGCCTGTTGTGCACTTCTTTTGAGCTGAATGGCTGCTTGGGTGCTTGCAGTGTCCCTGCTGCCCATGGAAATCAGGCCAGGTGCGGCCGGTCAATGCCGGGTACAAGCGCTTGAAGCTGAGATCCTCTTCAGATTTTTTGATTACACAATGGGGAGCTTTAGCTTTTCGACTCGGAGACATTGGCTGTGGCACTGCCACGAACAGCAGATAGCTGGGCATCACAGAAGTCCTGCGCAGTCGTTGGAAGCAAAAACCGACAGCAGGATGCAGCTTCGCATGCGCCAACACAGCCTTCAGCTCCTCACAATGACTAATCAGACCTTCCACCTTCGAGTGCCAAACTACAACGACTGGTCCACAACAAACGCAAATTCTCGACTAAGATCGCCGGGGTAGCTGCTTTGGAGTCATCCTCTGTCTTGAACAGACAAACTGCCTGGCAGCACATCTGACAGCACTGAATGCACGGTGCACAAAACAATGTTGGAAAGGTGGAGGCACAACAGGCGCTAGGCCGCTAGGCTACTGCAAGCCTTGCCTCACTTAACAGCTTGGAAGCTCGCTGATACTCCTCAAGGGTTGATCGATGAATCAGAAAAATCGATCTGCAGCCCTTGTTTGAGCGCTGAGCTTCCGCGAAAGCAGCAAATTCACCAGCCACCTTCGAGCTCCACAAGAAAGCAATGGCACCGCTTTGGGTATCCGGCATCCCTCCAGGCCGAGCAGACTGCAGCAAACAGAAGCAGACGAAAACACAATCTTTTCTGCGCTGAGTCCGTTGCAGACGGCATTGACAGCAGCCCGAAAATCTGAAGTAGGACAAAGAAGGCCGCGCCGCGTTGCACTTATGGACACTTACTTACAGAGTACCACTCACACGCACTTACTTGATCATTTGGCACATCCATTCCACGGATGGACAGCAGTAGCGGACAAGCGGCCTCCAAACATGGTGATGCATCTGTGTGAAACCTTCTGCTGCTCGCCGTTCGAAAAGATCGAGATCAAAGCAGCTTGTGCCGCCGTGCTGATCAACACCTGAAACGTCACTCCCATGAATACGCACTCAGCAAGAGTGCGGCTCCGCTGGCAAGCAGGCCCCAGATGATGACTCCCTGCAGAGGCATTACTGAGCAATTGCATGGCACTGCCCGTCAGGAAAAACTGCTTGGATCAAATCATGCCCTAAGTTGGCAGCTACTGTTTTCATGCATCACGCTCGAACAGAAAGCAGCCCTGCACTTGGGGAAGGGCGCACCTTCTGGCCAGATGTCCAAGTGTTGAAGCCGACTCCGTAGTCCTGGTTCTCTGCAAATCCAGCAACCTGCAATCAAGGCATGCAAGGCTGCCGGCCATCGCCTGCATCTCTGGACTTCAACTTCAAACCAAGTGCCGTTGCCAGTCCCGAGTTGCCTTTGAGTAGCAACCACGGTTGAGAGGGGCGGGCTCTCCTGCCTCACCCCGCCACTTAAAAATTCCGCTGCAAAGGATTCCTTGTTCAGAGGGCTAGTGCAGCAGCTCCTTGTTACGAAAAGCCTTTGAACATGATTTTCGAGCGGCCCCTCTCCGAAGGGGCAAAGGCCTGCCTAGGGAGCTGCAGGTTGGGCTTAGTTTTAACAGACGGAGCGTAGCTCAGGAAAGCCATCAATGCTTTGCGTGCATAAAGCGAGGCTCTCTGGGACCTGATCACTCGTATCCGAATGCCCCTGGTGCAGGCCTCCTCTATCACAGCCTGGAACTCATCTTTGGACCTCCACTGGAAACATCTGCTGTGGCAGCTATGGTGGGCAGCTGCTGGCTAATCTTGCAATGTTGTAAATGTCGAAGAAATGATTCCGCTAAAAAACCTGCTCTTGTCATAAGGATGTGGCACTTGGCATTGTGGACATCGGTAGCTGTCGGGTAGGTCCTTCAGCTTGGACGTGGGCTGTCTGAACTTTGCCAAACCGCTTCAGCGGGCTTGTTTAAATTTGAACTGGCGTAGCAGCGTCCTTGAACTGCGTCCCTGGGCCATAGTTTCCTTCTCCAAAGAGCGGGTTGTACTCATATCCACCTTGAGTGGCGTGCTGCTTGCAAACCAGGGGATACCCTTCTCTCCAAAAACTCTCACTATGAACCAAGCATGACGAGCTCCCAGCAGTTCTGGCAATCGTATCGTCCCGTCTCCCTTGTCATGAAAACTTCGGCCTGCTCTGAACGCAAGTCAGGTACCGTTGCGCAAGCAAGAACCAGCATTTGCAACTTAATTGCATGTCTGTAGCAGGCTCCAAGCGAGTAAGGTCCTTTTGGGAATACAAGGTCCGGATGGGCCAGGCTTCCGCCATACCTGCACCTCTTGAGATGGAGTATCGGCAAAACTGACCTAACGCAATTCTCTGTTCTGCCTGGCTCGAAACATTTGATAAGAGCTGGACATGATTGGACATGTGTTGTGCGCTTTAAAGGAAGCGGGCAGTTGCACAATTGTTGCACATGTGCCAGGAGCTGGCAGCCGTTCAGAAAGAGCCAGGTCAGCGCCTCTGGAGGTGCCAGCTCAGCTTTCTCCTCCTCTTGGGCCTTGCCAGTTAGTTGTGCGATTCTCCCGTCTCACCAAGTAAGTTCCAATGCACCTCCAGCACGGAAACTCCCATGGGAGCATCATACCTTGTGCCAGCACATCTTGTCACGTGCATGCTTTGACGTGGATGGCATCTTGTCAGGCCACTCGCCAAAATCAAACTCACCAGAATCGTCCTGACGCGCAGTCTTCATGCTAGGAGTGTACAATGCCGTCTGCACCTGACCCATCCAAACAAATCGCTTCCTCTGCTGCACGTGCAACGTTGACATGCCTGGATGTGGGGGCCACGCCCTGCGCAATCGCAAGCCAAACTGCAACAGAAACGATCGTCAAGTACAGAAATGTGTCCGGAACATCGGAACATCTGGGCAGTGCTTTTTACCATACAAGTTCCTAAACTAACACAAAAATGCCTATGTTTTTGCTATGCGAGGACTCTCTTGCTATCCGGTTACCTGCGCATACTATGCGGCATCCCTGGACTGCACAAGTCCCAGGCAGGATTGGCATGCTTCTTATAAAAACCTACAAGCTACGCAGACTGCGCGGACAAGACAACCTGCACATGGCGACGCAAAAGCGTGCCCGACAAGCCAGAAGCTACGCGAGCACTCTGGCAGCTTCATCGCCATCATAGCTCTTACATATCTAGCAAACGCTGCTCATCTGGCCAGAAGGATTGTGCAAAAGTGCTCAGCTGCTTCCATGTGATGGGTATCACGGCGGGAAGCATAACTAGTCAAGGCCAAGTTGCACAGATTCGCGCCTAGATGGGAACCAAGCGCTTCACACTCTGGGTTGTTGTGTAGATGTTTGGAAACATGCTGCGGGATAAGCCGCAAGGATACGAGAGAAGATCATTTTGGTGCACTCTGAAAATGGCCGTTGTCGTTTTCTAGGTGCTGGCAGCTGCAACATGTAACCTGCGCGATGAAGACGCGTCCTCACATGCAAAAGCGGGAGACGACCCCTTCAAGCTGAACACAGCTGTTGAATTTGCCAATGAGCCAACAGTGGGTACGGTAGAATCCTGATATGTTTGCGGTGTGGTGCCCGTTTCCTTTAATGTCCCTGAGGAAGCCACACCCTGCCGGGTGCCCTTGTCAAGTAGGTTGGGTCAGGTAAGGGTTGTGGATCTTGTTGTTGATCCCATCTGCCATATTATGGCATGTACCTTGTTAAGCATGGCTCCCTTGCGCGTTAGGAAGCAGATAGCTTCGTCAAGGTACTAACGACAGCCGTACTCCACATGATGGTAGTCTTAATTCGCTTCCAAAATAGCAACGCGTGGAGAAGCTGGAGTACAGGCAGTACAAATGGGGTGAGCCTGAACGTAAAAACTCCTTCACCACCAGGACTATTTGAGCGTATGATGCATATGTTGGACTCATGGAAAGAGTTCGGACAAATAGGGGCCAGCCTGAATAAACAACAACAATTCGGAGCGTATGACGTATGACCGTTTCAGCATGGCCAACTGGAGAAAAAACCGATAGGAACCCGAATGCAGACACGTAACACGTACATCGCAAAGATAACAACACCCCACGCGCGACACCAATCAGGAAACGTAAGTCCGGGGTCATCCTCTCTCCGCGGTCATCCTCTCTCCTCTCTCTTCTCCTCTCCTGTCTCTTCTCTCTCCTCTCCTCTCTCTTCTATCCTCTCTCCATCTCTCTCCTGCCTCCTCTCTCCTCTCTTCTCTCCTCTCTCTGCTCCAAAGGCAAGTCCAAAAGTGACGACAGTTCTGCGTTTCGCGACCCGGACCCCCCCGATCCCTGTGACTGTTGACACTTTTGAGACACGCAAACCCGACGCAGGTCCAAAAGAGTTCTGCATTTCGCGATGACCCCCCCCGACCCCTGCGACTGTTGGCACTTTTGGAAGGCTAAGCGTAAAAAGTGACGAATGTGACGACAGTTCTGCGTTTCGCGACGATTTTCCATCCCAAAAATGCGGACACTCGCGGGCGCTTGCGAATGCTTGCGAACGCTTTGCGAACGCTTACGAACACAAACGCAACGACTTTTGGTCACCTCCTGGAACCCTGGACCCCAACCTTAAAACGGGAACCCTTCTGCAGAGCATTCTGGAAAACAACGTCCCACAAACGCGAGAGTCCCCTATAAGAAGTAGTAGTCGTCGCAGTAGCAACGGAGGCAGTAGCACAAGTAGCAGCAGCAGAAGTATCAGTGGTAATCGGAATAATTGTAGTAGCACCAGCAGTATAGCCGTAGCAGTTGCTGTCGACATGCAACATGACTTTCCCTCAATACGATAATTACGAGATGAATTTCGGTTCCAATCACACCCCCTCACTCCCTGCACCTGCCTCCCTCCATTCTTGCATCATCCTTCCTGATCTTCCTGCCTATTATCCTTCCGTCTTTGTTTTCGTTTCCTGCTGAACATCTTTGGAAAGCTGGCAAAACCTTCAAACTTCTAACCTCATGAGATTGTTCGAGCTCATGGCAACCTGATTGCAGTGAGCCAGTCATCGGACAGCCTGCACCCACGCTGCAGAGTGCCATGTTAGCTGCCTGGTCGCAGCACAAGCTCCGGTAACAAAATGGCGGAGTTGCTGGGCGTCTTGGGGTCTGGACCAGGCTCCTAGCAGCAGCAGTGCCTAGGCGATGCGAGGACACAATCGCCTTGTCTGTGTGCCCCGTGACCACAGCCGAGGCAGGAGCCCGTGGCAGCGCATGCGAAAGCCTCCTCGCGGCACCGCCTCTAATTCCTCTAGTGCATTTGCAGTGCTGCCGAGCCTTCCAGGCTGAGCCATGGGGACAGTTCTACCTGTTCCTTGAGCTGAAGCTCTGCTGATCTCTGAAGGATCTGTAGGTGCAAGGTGAGCAGGCCGGCAGATGTGGGTGGCAAAACACATTGAAACAGCTGAGCGGGCAGGCAATAAGTGATGCACACATGCCGCGCACCTTGTAGTAGGCGCCTGCGTTAGCATCTTGCTTCATGCTTCGAACTCGATCGAGCGCCAAGTCAACCTAGGACAAGCGACAACTCTAATCTTTGGTCGTCATGGCAAGCGTTGGCATAGCATAGCAGCAAACGCCAGGAGGCTGTGGGCAAATAGTTACGGAAACTGGCACGGTTCAAGGGGTTCCCGAGCTTGACCAGATCCATGTGAGCTCCGAAGAGGTGGTTGTGGACCTGCGGTGGTAGCAAGGTTCAAGAACCGAAGCAACAAAGGTCCAAGTCCAAAACTGTCGCCACAGGCCATGCAAAAGGCCTCCATAATTCCCAGCAGATCAAACGCATCCTTCTGAGCCTAGCCGTGAACACTCCGTGAACCGGCCATGTATGCCACGTGGCGCAACATTGCACCGCATGCTGAGATGCAAAGGCATGGCCTCTATTTGGTACGATCGTGCAAAGCTTGCAATAGCTTCTGGGACGCGTCCCCTGCATGGGCACAAACCCTCTACAGTAGCAGGATGACAGCAAGTGCTGTACTCCTACGCCGCCTGCGCTTTTGAGCCTCTCCAAGCCCACGCAAGGCAGATGCTGTGAGCGGACTGTCCTCACCGCACGTGACCTGACAGTCTCCAAATTACCTTCTTCAGCTATCTCAGATCTGCGGCTCTAGGTTGGCAAAGGAAGCCTGCCTCAAACAGGGCGACATTTTCCTCTTCCCTGATGATGGCCTCATCCTCAAGCAAGTGGTAGAGAAGGCGGCTGCAAGAGAAAGGCTGCATATCCTTCTTCTGTGAACACATTAGCCTCCATCTCCTGTCTTTTGTCGTCATCAGGTTCCTCCGGTGCAACCCGATCTTATCTAGGATCTTGCAAGGCGGCTGGCAACAAGGATCTCTCAAGCGTTCCTGCAAAGCCAACTTCAAGAGGATTTTTGCAATGGACATCCCCGCTTTGGCAACAAGTGAGGATGGCCTCGAAACTTCTAGTGCATTGCAGCCCAAAAGATGACCACCAAAATGTGCTGCGCTAAGCACTTGACTTGCCATTTGCTCTCTGCCGGAAAAGGGCCTGTCTTGAGTCTTCAGCAGGCGCTTTCTGTCAGCGCATGCAAAAGGAAGGGCTGAATGCTAGTCTGAAAATCTTAAGCACAAGACAGGACAGCCAAGAACACGACCCCGGCAGGCCTGGGATTCCCGCACCGAAGCAAGTGCCTTCAATAAAGCTTGCTTGCACAAGCGGACACGCAGGAAAAAGGAGAAAAAACAGCCAGACCTGCTCGAATCGGCCCAAGCGGTCTTCAATCAACCCCAGGCCTAGCAGAATGCCTGCGACAAGGAATGCAAGCGCATCCCATTAATTAAGACTGCAGGAAAATCACGCATGCATTGTGCAACATCAAGGTGTGTCGATGAATCAAGCAGTGAGCTTCAGTGTGTCAGCAAGACTCGGGCCTCAAACCATCAGTCACTAGTCAAGAGCCTGGGGAGCACACCCTCCCAGGAACCATGCAGTCTCCATTCTGAAGCGGTTCGGCCATGCTAGACTTTGTCAGTCTATGCGAAGGCTGAGTTTCGCACACTTCGCTTGTCCACATCGTAGTAAACATGCCAGCGGTCGTTGCTAACTCAATAACAACTGAAACAAGGACCTGAAACTGACAGCCATGCCCTGGGTTCAAGGCTTTGGCTTGCGACTTTCTTCGAGTCCGGTTGTGATGGCCAGGGTTTTGTTGCGGGTCATGTCTTTTCTTCGGGATGCCTGCCATATCATCGTGTCTGCGCGGAAGCTGGCGGAATGTTCCAAGGGGTTGATTTCCAGAGGAGGCCAGCCCAGCCCAGTTCACACAGTACCGAATCCCCAAAAGATATGGGCGCCCAGCACCTCTAAATCCAAAGGCTGTGGGTATGGACAGTTGGCTTTTGATCGTCCATCATGTGCACCACCGACGACAATCACGACTTGAGAAAAAACAAGTCACAAGACCCAACAAGTCAGGTCTACACGTATAGCAGCTTGCGCAATTCAGAGGTTCAGGAGTTTCCAGAACTGAGAGTTCCATGGTCCCACCCCAATAAAACTCTGCAATGTCTGCAGCAGGTTTGCCGTTGGAATGGCGTAGGTCGGGCTTGTACAACGCACGTACACCTGCTTTCAAGCTTCTCTTCTTGCCTGCGCGGTCGCCAGTCTTCTTGCCCAACTCCTCTTCCTTGTCTAGGCATTGCAAGGCCCGCTTGAAGTATTCCGATGCCTTCCAGAAAGTGGTAATCCGTTAACGTTGCAAAACTTCAGCCTCCAAATCGCCTTATCAAAGTTCCCCATCGAGCTGTAGGTGTGGCCCATGTTTTCGCACAAGGCCGCGCTGCAGCCAATGAGGTCCTTCTGAACAAGCAGTCCAGAGAAAAGTTGAGGCCCAACATGCAAGCATCTACTCAATCTACTCCGATGGCCTTGCGACAACGTCAGCTTGACAGTCCTCAATTTCATGGAAGAGCTTGACGGCATCATTGAACTGCGACTTCTTCCACAGGGTGAAAGCCAGGGCCTTGATTGCCAAGAATGATCGAAGAAAATGGCTTGGCTCCAGAATCTAAACATGCGGGTGATGCTTGAACGCCCTTCACATGAAAGTCTCCTGTGTTGGGCAGCAATAGCAAATTCGCATGGATTGACGCCTCAAGATGCCTCAGAAAGGGAAGGGGCCTCCTCTGCTGCGGCAGATAGGCACAACCTCTGGAAGTACCTGGACTTGAAACAGCACAGAGTAGGTAGTTCACGAAATGGTTGTTGGATATCGCCTCTTGAAACCATTTGCACGCCAACGTTTCCGCGGAGTAAAATGCAAGATCGCTGCTTCTTGTTGCAGGCAGATCGTTCCCCTCATCACGACACCCCGTCGCAGAAACCGGCTAACTGGAGGATTGATTTAGCAACCGTGTTTACACTAGTTAGTCATGAGGTCTGGCATGCAGGGCCGGCAACCCAACACTGTATGAAGAGTAGGGCACGTACTACCCAAGTACTGCGCATATGAGATTCGTGTATTGATGCTGCTTCGGCCCAGCGAGTCGCCCCGCGAATTGTCGCTACAGCATGGGCTTGTCGCCCTGGAGTTCTTCTGGAAAAGACATGAAAAAACCATGGTCGGAAACACGCACACGGTGGAGGCAAATCAAGCTTGGTTCAGGCACATGAGTTTTGGTTTTTATTCTT